GGTTGTCGTTCAGCACGTAGTCCTGGCACAGGTAGCAGAACACGTACAGGTCGTGCACCTCCATGGCCAGCGGGTGCCGCGTCTCCTGGAAGTGGCGCAGCGCGTGCTCCTCCAGGTACCGCCCGCACGCCACGTGCGAGCACTTGAGGCAGGCCCAGAGCGACTCCGTGGTCTGGCAGTCCACGCACTGCCACTTCTGGGGGTTCAGGATCGAGTGGTCCTGGGCGAGTCGTAGCCGCCCGACATGTTTGCATCTATCCATGTCTCACAGGAGTCGTCGCCGCTCTGACCTGGGGAGGCGAGAAGAGAAAACGGAAAGGAGAAGGGTTTTAGAGCCACGACACGCAGGTAAGATTTCTCTTCATCGTGGGAGGGACCCACAAGGATCAAAGCCCAACTCCTGGCCCCGCACAGGATGCCCCCAAATCCCACCCTGTGCCTGAGAGCATTGTCCAAACTCTCCTTGAGCAGCCTTGGGGCCGTGCCCACTGCCCTCCTTCTGTACCAGACCTGTGAAAACACCGACGTCGTGTCTTGTCAATCCCTCAGCCAACGACATTATTTCCGTGCACAGTTTTTTTTTTTAAAGCAGTTTTTAGCACCAGTGAAAGATATTGGATGGACCAGGTCTAGAGAATAAAGCTCTATCTGTCTCCTAAGGCTGGCCCAGGCAGCTGCCAGCACGTCTGGCCCAATCCACGGAGAGAAGGATTCATTCAGTCCACACACACGTTTGATCTTTTGCTGCCCCCTTGAAATTGATACACTCAAAAGGAATTTGGAATTGGAATGCATGTCATCAGCAACCAGGCTGAGGTTACCCACTTCAGGCAGAAGCCACTGAAATATCAGCTAATGGTGGTAACCAGAGCGTTTGTCCTCAGGCTTTTTCATCCTGCCCCCGAATTCCCTGATTTCCCACAGCCTCCCAAACATTCCAGTGCTGGAAAAAAAATCAGCATGGGAAAAAAAATTCAATGTGTAGGGGAAACCTAAAGGAAAATCTGTGTGTGTCCAAGAGAGACACACAAACAGAGAAAGCAGCTGATTTACTGAGTGACCACTGGAACTGCAGGGAAACCCGGGCAGGGATCCGAGGAGGTGCAAAGAATGTCCCCACTTTGGCAAAAGACACTCAGCCCTGCCAAAGGCCCAGCTGAACCCTGGTGTGCCAGTGCTGTGCACTCTGGAGGGCAGTCCCTGCAGGGCTCTGACCCCAGGGCAGGAGCTCAGCCCCACACCCCCACTCACGCAGTCCTGGTCACACATCCTTTCCTCCGCCACGCAGCATCCCGGGCACGGGGCAGCCCCATGTTCCACGGCAGTCCTGGTGCTTCTTGGAGAATTTAATTGCCAGTTAAGTCTTCACTGCAAGGCAGCCCATCTTCAAAGCCCTGGAGAGAGAATATTCTGGTGATGCACAGAAACAAACCCAGGCAGGGCTGCTTTGGAGCACCATTAACCCCCTCAGCACACTTTTATTACAGACACCAGCATTATCTGGAAGCCAAAGCCTGCTCACGCCCAGGAACCCAAATTCTCAGATGTTCAGGCACGTCACACGCAAGAGCCACTCTGGAATTTCATTTTCTGCTTTCATTTTCGGGCGAGCTGTAAATCTGCTGATCACATGGAGCCTCTCCACCGTGAGGCTTTTGTAGTGGATGACCCAACATATGGCAGAGGAAAAATGGGAGTTTAAAAAAAGTGAGGAAAAACGTGCCCCTCCTGTGATCACTTGGATTTTGGCGGCTTCGATCACTCGGTGAACGAGGGGGGAGGAGATGGGGGAAAGATTTAAAAAAAAAAAAAAAGAGCTGTGCTGAATACATTTCATTTCTAGGTGATTCTTCAAACAATAAAGAGGAAGTAATGGAGAGTTGTCAAGTGTGAACTGCAGCAAAATAAGAACTGCAGAGGAGAGAAAAATGGGTAAAAACCTGCCAAAAGGTAGAAGAGGTTGTAAAAACAGATCTGTTGGAATAATCCAGGAGAGACTGAATTAAGTTGCTTCCACAGCTACGACTATGGTATTGAGCACACACAAAGTAGTGACAGGGGACAGCAATCCCAGGCACAAAGTGGTTACAGATGGCACAGAGAGTGTGGGACCTGGCACACAGAATATTTGGTTAAAAAATCATTTTATAAGGGGCAAAGGCCCCACACAACAAAGGCCCCAGCACAATGCTGCCAAAGCTTTGGCACAGGTACTGAGCCCTCACCTGGATGGGTGGGCAGAGACCTGGCCCAGGCTAAGAAAATATATTTTTAGTGGTCCTAAATCATGCAAGTTTGCTTTAATCACTGCCTTTTTCAGTGATATTGCTGTTAAAGATGGAATCTCTCAAGGAAAAAAAAAAAATCAAAGCTCTTCAGTTCTTTCCTCCACTCCAGATTAAAGCTCAAGTGGCCACTTCAGCCCCCGCCTGCTGGGGGGACCCACAGTGCCTAAAGAACCATTGGAGCTGTTTATTAAACCAGCTCAGAAACCTCCCCACCCCTCCTTTGGGCTGGGCTCATTCCCTCCCAGACCCCAGGACCTGGAAAGGCACTTTTGGAAATCCTAAGCTGAACAAAGGACCGGTTTGGTCTCCTCCTTCCAAGTTGGAAACAACCCTTCCCACCTTCCTTCCTCCCTCCCCACCTTCCTCCCTGACCCTTTTCCCCCCCCTCTCTTTCTTTATTTCTCTCCTCAGCTCTGGATAAAAAAATTGTTGGAATAATCCTGTCTAGCCTTGGTGAGACCAAGTGGCAGAGATTCCAGCTTGAGAGAGTATAGACACTATGGTAACATTGACAGCCTTCATTTACATAAAAGAATACTAATTATGTTGTATCATCAACATCTGTGATTCTGCTCACTGCCATATGCGACAGTGTGGGGAATTTAACCCTTGAGTCTCACCAGCGTGTTCTGAGGAACAAAAAATGGGCCTTATACACACAGTTTGCTAGAGAATAATCAAACAGCCAGTTGCTCACCAGCCCTGCAAGCTCTCAGGACACAGGGTTTTCAAAAACCACCGAATTTATCCCCAGTTTCCAAGGAAGAAGAACCAGTGGTGCTGGTTCCAGCTGGGTAACAGGCTACCAGGAAATCAATCCCACACCAGACCCAGAGCATTAGGGAACCGTGTTTGACAATGCAGGAGGCTGTCAGGAGATAAATCACCAGCCTTTTGTCAACTGCTTTTGCTTTTCCTGTGTGGGCCGGGAGATTTCCTGCTTGGAAAGGGAAAGAGACCCTGGACACGGTGGGTCAGTTGACAGAGCAGCTTTGTTACACCTTAAGTCAGTAATTCTCAGCACAAAAGCATCTTTGATGCTGCATGTGATATTCCCCACCTGGTTCTCTTTAGGTATCCACGGATAATTCCCTTGCAAATCCAAGCCCTAATTCCCTGTACCTTGGGCTGCTCTCAAAGTTAGAAAGAAACTGTGTTTATTTAACCCAAAACCACTGGAATGATACATTTTTCCTCAGAGAGGGGCTTCTCCACCCACCACACTTCAGAGTTCATCCTCACATTAAAGGTTTCTATTACTGACTCGTATTTTTGAGCCCTTCCATGAAAAAAAAAAAAAAAGGATTAAAATTGGCTCTCCCATGATCCAAAGGCAGCTGGAATGGGTGCAGGTCCAGCCCTGCAGCCCCCACACCCCAGAGAGCAGAATGAGCCACCAAACACTGGCACATGACTAAGAAGAGAAGTTTCCCCCTCTCTTCTCCACAGGTACACAAGCAGTTTTGCCACAACCTCCTCCAAGAACAGGCTCCCAGGAGGAATGACAGGGCTGGGATTAAAGGAGGACACAGCCATGAGTCAGAACCTGTAAACAAGGGGGAAAACAAACCTGGCTGAGATCACAGGGCTGGAGCTGCCTCAGAGGCTGCAGGGCCTGAGCACAAATTGCTGTGGTTGGTGTGACAGACCATGAGCAACACGAGGGTTTGATGATGGAGAGTCAACACCTTGGATTTTAAAAGCCTTGGAAACAAACACTCAGAGCTCTGCTCTCTGCAATTATAGTTCATCGCCTTTCATTCTTGGGTTTACAAATTTTTCTTTTCCCATTAAGGTAGATGTCATTTTAAAGAATCTCTATAAACTCCTCCTTTCTCACCTACTTAGATCTTTCCCAGATAAGGGCTGGGGGAAGGAAAAGAGGGAGGAGGGATGACTTGATTGCTCTGCATGGAGAAGAGGCACCAGCAGCAGGAGGAGCTGCACTGCAATGCACTAAAGATGAGTACAACTGCAACAAAGTAATAGGAAATAAAAGAAAAATAAGGACATTAGTTTAGCCAATGACATTTTAGAGACATTTTGAGTATTTCTCACATTGCAAATCACTTAAACACTGGGTCAAACCCTACTTTCTTTCCTTGCATGGCTCATAACCCTGGAAAAACTCATGGCAAGAACCTCTAACAACTTCAAGGACCAAATGCAGCAGAAACAATTTGGCTCCTGACCCCAAAAGAGTGTTAAAATAAACCACATGATTTCATTACGTTTCTTTGTCCCATTGTTACACATTTGGAACCTGATTAAAGACATCTGTAGGGATCTGTTGACACCAGCTACTTTCTGTTTCTAAATCAATCTGCAGGAAGCAAAGAGAACAGTTCAGGGCTCAGGAGAGGTGCTGCACGTTTGGCCTTGGAATGATGCATCTTTTATTTGTCCAACAGTTGATTCCACTCTTGTCCAAGAGTGTTCAGTACTGGCACAAACTCCTGGAAATCATCTTTCAGGACAGGTGGGAAGCTCAGCCTGAATGATTCTTTCATTCATTCCTTCCTCCCTCTCCTGGGAATGGCAGAAGTGAAACACAGCAGCATTTCACCAGCCCAGTGGGAATTGGTCTCACATTAAATAAAGCACACTTGCCTTTTTTTTTAACTTCTCACTTTGTTTTAAAACACTGTAGGAAAAAAATATCCTTGGGTATTCCTGGTTTCCATCAAAACTACATAATGAATATCCAGCATTTGGTCAAACTGCAGTGACAGGACAAGGGGGATGGGTTCAAACTGCAAGAGGGAAGGTTAGATGGGATACTGGGAAGAAATTCTTCCCTGTGAGGGTGGGCAGGCCCTGGCACAGGTTGCCCAGAGAAGCTGTGGCTGCCCCATCCCTGGAAGTGTCCAAGGCCAGGCTGGATGGGGTTTGGAGCAACCTGGGCCAGTGGAAGGTGTCCCTGCCCATGGCAGGGGGTGGCACTGGTGGCACTTTAAGGTCCCTTCCAACTCAAACCATCCTGTGATTCTATGATACCATGAAATAGGTTTAAAAATTTCGATGCAAAACCCCAAGTACTTTCCACTCCCCCCTGCCCAATAACCCATTTTTATGTGGAACTCTGGATTTTCCACCCTGCTGCAAACACCCAAAAACGCAAACATGGCGATAGCAGAGAGGAGAGAGCTCCAAAATTGCACACAGCTACTCCAACCCGTCATTGCTGTGATTGTTTTAACCTCCCCATTTGTGAGGAACCAATTATTGAACCAGATGTCTAATGAAAACATGTAATCTGAGCTGCACTGGAGATGGGGGAAAAAAACTCCTGCTCAAGCATTCATGTTCCAGTTCTAAGGGTGTACTCACAGCAAAGCCCTGTATTTACAGAATCCCAGAATCCCTGAGGTTGGAAAAGCCCTCCAGGACCAGGGAGTCCACCCAGTGCCCCATCCCCACCTTGTCCCCCAGCCCAGAGCACTGAGGGCCACCTCCAGTCCTTCCCTGGACACCTCCAGGGGTGAAGACTCCACCACCTCCCTGGGCAGCCCCTTCCAGTGCCTGAGTGCCCTTTCCATGAGGAAATTCCTCCTGAATTCTTCCTCACCTCTCAAAGACTCTGGCAATGACATTTTTTCCAAGCAGAAAAACTCATATCATTGATATTCTGTTAGAAAAAAAGGAATTGCTGCATCAAAAAACGTCACCACCACGTCCCCATCCTCTGTCCTTAGAGGAATATTCCCCATTCCTAAAGCAAGTCAGTGCCTGGAATGGATGAAATAACCTTATCCTGCCTTTTTTTGCTCTTCTCAGTCCTGGTGAACTGGTTTAGCTGCACTCCCCAGAACAACCTCCCTGCAGGCACACACACACTCACACTCTCTGCTTTCTGGTGAACTCCAAGGAGCCAGAAAAGCCACCAAGCTCCTTTGGTTGGGTTGGAATAAATTTATGACTCCAACAAAAGACTTGGCACTGCTGTGTCCTCCAAGAGCCATAATTCCAACTTCACACAGGCCAACAAATCCCTGCACATGTGTCTTCTATCCACATTCCTTCCCAAGGAAGATCCCATTAAACCGGAGCCAGTCCAACATTCCCTACAAATGGAGCTGCAGCTCAGGGTTTGCAAACAATCCTGGCAAGGCAGAGGGAAGGTGCAACTCCTCCCTCCCCCTGGGAATGGGCTGCTCTGTGCTCACACTGCCACTCAAATCCAGCCACACCAGTCTAAACTTGGAAGTTTTTATAATTTAAAGTATTTTAAAGATGAAATAGGAATATTCTTATCGAGCCAAACTCACACTGTCTCTCATCTAAGAGATAAATAGAAATAATTGACTAAAACCTCAGGTAACATCCCACCTCTTGACTTTAGCTCTAAGAATCAATGTCCATGTGCAATATTGACTATATATTCTTTAGAGTCACTGTAAAACACAC